TCATTGTCCTCATCTTTCCCTCAGGTCCTTCTCCTGTGCCAGGACCCCAACCAGGAGACCCCATTACATTGAGTCGTTCTGTCTCCTTAGGTACCTTGTAGCTGTGACAGTTTCTCAGCCTTTCCTTGTTTTGATGACCTTGACAACTGTGAGGAATACTGGTCAGATATTTTCTAGAATGTTCCTTAATTGGGTTAAGTGTTTTCCTTATGATTAGACCGAGGCTGTAGGTTTGATGGCGGGACACTGCCAAGGTTAAGTGCCACTTTCCTATCGAGGGTACTCGCCGTGACTTCATCGCTGTTGGCGTTGACCTTGACCACCTGGCTGAGGTAGTGTTTGTTGGGTTTTGTGCTGTAAAACATGGAACATTTTTACGAGCCTTTTCCTTTTATTTGGGAGAACACAGGGCTGTCTGGACTGGTGCATTTGTGTTCTTTCCCGTGATGTCAGTGAGATGTTCACTGAATGCTAAGGATCCTGTTCTTTTATTAGAAGCCGAGTTGACCTTTTCAGGCATCTCATTCTGACTCTCACTGTCATTGTTTGGGGAAAGTCTTTGAGAGAACATCTTTGTTGTGTGAGTTTGTGTCCCTGTCATAGCTGATTTTCTTCCCTTGTAAATTGGCAGTTCCGTGAAGGAAATGGTCATGTCTTCAATGTGTGTGTGGGCTCCACGTGCTCTATACATATGCTGCATACATACACATACTAAAGTCATGTCTTCAACATGCAAGCTCCATGCACCAGCCTCTAGCCTCCTCCCAGCCCACAAAGTGCAGGTACGCCAGAAGCTTCGTGGCACTCCTGGGACACATTTGCTCCTTTCTTCCTGGGAAGCTGTAGACAGAGAAATCGTGATGCTGTAGAAAGAGCCCAGAATTGGGTGTTTCCCTTTCCTTGAGTCTGGGCAGGAGCACAGGCCAGTAGGGGATCCAAATCCAAATGAGCCTGTTGAGCTCCGGCACAAGAGACTGGTGTCGAACCCCAGAGTGGCCACTGGACGAGCAGCAACTTCCCTTCTACACAGAGGGCATTGCAGTCACTGTTGCTGCCTCGCGAACCCCAAACCTTCGTGGCCTAACAACACTAATCATTCATTTTGCTCATAAATCTGTACTTGGGGCAGGGAGCCCTTGCCTCTGCTCCACCTAGACTCCTGGGGGAGCTGGACCGGGGCTGGGAGACCCACTCTCAGATGGCTTGGCCCGTGGCTAGCAGCTGGTGCTGGCTGTCCCCTGGAAGTCCAGCTGGGACTGAAGGCCAGGGACCTCCATTCCTTCCACCTGGGCCCCTTCATGGGCTCCTCACAGCGTGGCGCTGGCCTCTGAGAGCAAGCACCAAGAATGGGAGCCGGGAAGGAGCTGTCGCTTTTATGCCTGGCCTCAGCAGTCACATAGCATCTCCGCAGCCATCGCCACCACCCGCCCAGGTCCCAGGGGAGGGAACACAGACCCACCGCTCACTGGGAGCTGTGTTTTTAATTGGGATCATCACAGCTGTTCTGTCATTGCCTGTCTGCATAAAGCGCTCCCCTGCTCACGTGGGACATTGCTTTGGATCAAAAATCTCTGTCCCTGGGGTCTCAAGCAGCCAGGGTCAGAGAAACCGGGTTTTAAATTCTAGCACTGCTACCTGGTGGCTGCTTTGGCCGCAGACAAATGACTTAACCCTGTGTTAGCATGGATGTGATGGGAAGTCTTGGGCGGCAAATTTATCATTTTGCCTATTTCCTGCTCCCAGGAGAGGGCCTGTGGGGTGTGTGTGTGTGTGTGTGTGTGTGTGTGTGTTCACACATGCATCTATGTGTCTTTGTTAGGGAGCTGTGATCTGTCAGCCCCAGAGCTGCAGCACAAGGTAAATTCACACTTGCCAGAGGTCACGGGTGTGTCTGGGGAACATGGGCCCATCTCACATGGATTTCTTACTTGCAGTGCTTTGAGATTGTGCTCTGGGAAACACAGTCATTGACCTCATCCGTTCAACTGTTGAGTCAGTGATCTCCAGACATTTCTGGAACCAGGTGATGGCCTCAGGTAGCTGTAATCACCAAGCAGAACCTGACCTTTAGCCCTGTGACCAGAGCCACATGTCCAGCAAGACTTGATAGAATTTGGAATATGGTTGCCTGGAGAGAGGGCAGCAGCCAAGATTTGTACCCAAAACTCCTCGCTTTCATAAAGAAGCCAGGGTCACAGGCATGAGTACTGCTTAAGAGCAGTCACCCAACTTACCCTGCAGTAATGAATTATCTGTATTTCTGAGTAAGAGAAACTGCTCCGAGGAATGAATTTATGTTTGGTCTTTAAAATGAAAGGAGACATTGAAGTTCAGAGCCCCTGGAATACTGGGGTCACAGTGATGGAAGGAGAGCACTGTAAGGGCAGGGTGTTAGTGGGACTGGGAGGCAGTGAGCTGGCCCAGGTCCCTCGCAGCCCTAACCCCGTAGAGCTGGCCTGGGCCAGGGCAAGTTGTTTCATTGTGTTGGGCTTCAGCCTTCTCGTCCATAAGGTGAGAGAGTTAGATATCAGAGAGTCCTAATTAAAAGTCCCTTCCAATCATAAGACGATCCTCTTGAAATTAGAAAAGCTCGTTTTCCCTGCAAGATTGTACATTACTGCCCTGTAGGAGGCAGGCTCCCTGAGGGTCAGACTCGGTGTGCTGTGGATACTCTTCTAGTGTTGTTGAAATTTCAGATGTAGAAGCTAAATTTCCACGTGTCTGGTTATCTGTGGCTGCCAAGAAACCACCCAAAACAGTGGCTGAAAGGAGTAAGCTATTTTATTCACAAATGTTAGGGTGGACTGGGCTCAGCTGGGGGCTCCCACTTAGGGCCTGTTGTGCGGTTGCCATCCAGCAGTTCTGGGCCAGGGTCATACTCGGCTCTTCACACTGATGTCTGAGGCCTGGCTGGGGCTGGGGCAGCTGAGCTCCCTCTCACTCTCCACATGGTCTTTCCACTCCCTCCACACGGCAGCCCCTACATGGGGCTGAGGCCCCCAAGAGAAACCTGCAGAAGCTGTGTGCCCCATTCTACTCTGGCCTCGGACTCATGTGGTGTCACTTCTGTTCCGTTCTGCTCATTGAGGGGGTCACACTGGTCCAGGAGGTTCAACGGGAAGGAGGCAGACTCCACCTCCTGGTGAGAGGGGTGCCAAGAACTTGCAAATACCACACATTGGGGAGGGCCAAGCTGCCTGCTGCTTACCGATGGGGGTGGGTGGCTTAGAAGGCTTCTCAGACGCCTTCGATGGTGCTGTGGGGTTTAGAGGCAGAGGAGAAATCACTGGCAGTAGAAACCTAGTTTAATGGGGAGGGATGCTCTACTTAGAAGAACATGTTTTACATTACAAGGAAAGTGAGCTAGAACTCTGTTTTTATGTGTAAAGGGAAATGTATCCATGTGTCTTGTATGTGTGAGTAAGCAATTTTAAGAGAAAAATTTTACCTAAGTTAATTAATTAAGCAGTGGGATACCAGGCTCGGGGAAGAGAAGAGAATTAGAGCAGGGATTTCCAGCCCTCTTACTGTACTACTCCAAGTCCCCTCCTCCCACCCCCGTTAGTTGCGAAAGAAAGTTAATTGGCTGGATTGTTCAAAGAACACCCAGTGTGTCCTATAGAGTCCTGAAGTGGAGAAAGAAGAACACAGGTAAGAGGGAAGGAGAGTCAAAAGACCGATGATAGAAAATCGGTTCCCAAAAGATTGTGGATCATTGCATTTGATTGTATAGAGCAGCCCGCAGGGTGGGCATTGAGAACAAGTTCAGACTATAGACCAGGGGTGGGCAAATTTTTTGACTCGAGGGCCACAATGGGTTCTTAAACTGGACCGGAGGGCCGGAACAAAAGCATGGATGGAGTGTTTGTGTGAACTAATATAAATTCAAAGTAAACATCATTACATAAAAGGGTACGGTCTTTTTTTTTTTAGTTTTATTCATTTCAAACGGGCTGGATCCGGCCCGCGTCCCGCGGGCCGTAGTTTGCCCACAGCTGCTATAGACCCTAGAGCCAGGCAGGTTCAAATCTCAGCCCAACATTCCCCAGCCGAGTGAGAGGGCTGGTCCTGCACCTCTCTGTGCTTTCCTCGGGCACAGCAGGGAGCTAATAGCGCCTGCCTCACTGGGTGGTTGTGAGGACTGTGTCAGGACAGGCCTAGCCCTACGAGCAGCACGTGATGGGTAGAAAGCACTCGGTTCATTTTAGCCTTTGCTCTCTTCACCAATTCCCTCCTTGCCTTTGCCAGATGCAAATGTCATGCCCAATATGGACAGTGGGCACCCGACCAAACAAACAGAAGGAGCAGGGCCTTTTCTTCCCCCTGGGTCCTGGGAACATGGATGCATTGGAATTCTAGGTAGGAGGTGGCCTGCGTGCACATCTGGGCTCCCATCAATCTGTGGGTTTCCACCCCGCACACACTCGTCCTTATCCCGACATGCTATAAAAATCAGGTCCACATTTAAAGCACGTCAAGCTAGATTTTAGGTTTAGTCTCTCTTATATATTTGGAATTAGAACCTCAGGGGCCATTATGCAAAACAATGCAAATGATATGCAGAGAGGCCCGGAGCCCCAAAGGTGGGGAGCAGAGTGAGCAGGCCAGAACAAAGGGCCTTGGGTGAAAATTTGCATCTGCTGAGAGGAAGGCCTTGCACAGCTATTGTGACAGTATGCTGCCCTTCGCCTTCAGGGGTTAACCTTTCGTGCCCAGGAGGAGAGGTAAACTCGGGTCTGATTTCCATGCTGAAGGTGACAGTGGAGGCTGAAGGTGTTTGGGCACTGTGACATTGTAGCAGTTTTTATGATGCAAATGGAAAGTTGCTTTGAAATAATAGCTAAGATCCAGACTCTGTCCCCCACCAGCTGTGTGTTCTTGGACAAGTCACTTCCCTCCCCGCTCTGGGAAATGAGGGCATTGCATTAAGTTACTTCCCGGGCCCCTTGCACTGTGACAGCTACATGTCTCCCTCCGGGTGAAAACCCTTTGCAGCCAGGATGGCGGTATCCACTCATTGTACCAGAGGTTCACTCTGCATCCAAAGAAGAAATGGCTAAGAGGTCACTGAACAGTCCTTCTAGAGAAAACTGACTTTAGAGCATGGAGAGGCAAACAGATTTTCTGACACTGTGAGACTGACACAAGCAGGGTTCCAGTCATACCTTTCCAGCTGGGAGGATTTTAGCCCCTGGAACATTCCTGGTGGGAAAGCCTGGGGAATTTCTTTCCTGAGTGTTAGAAAGACCAGGATGCATTAACCCCGCTGCCTCCATAGCGCTGCAGCAGTTCTGGCAGCCAGAGTGATTCCAGTCCCACCCAGGCCTGTCACTGGGATCAATTGGGGGCTCTCTGAAAGCTTGGCACTGCCCTTTCTGCTGCCACAGACTATTGTGTCCTTGGCCTCCACCCCAGGAATCTTCTGAGCACTTCAGTTTAACTCCAGCTGTTGTGGCAGCCAGCAGCTGGGCCCAGGTGGGACTAGACAGCCCCTCTCTGACTCGCCCATGGGCGGTGCAGGAGCAAGGAAGTGCAGTGGACCAAGCCCCCGTGGAGCCGCGTGGGCCAGTGGGGATGGGAGCTGCAGGGTGTGATCTTACCTGGACAATTCAAGGGGCATCTACTCAGCTCCTCCCAGGTCCCAGCGAATGTGAGTTGCCCTCTCTAGTCAGCTCATACCTTGCCCTCAGATTGATTTTCCCCGTTTCACTCACCTCAGATCAGACCCCATGGCTGTTCACTTCCCAAAATGAACTACCTGCACACAAGCCCCTGCCTCCACCTCTCTTTTTTGGGGTGCGGGGGGTCTCCAATGTAAGACACTTACTTGGGCTGCCATAACCAAGCACCACTGACTAGGGGCTTGAACAACAGAAATGTGCTTTCTCGCAGTTCTGGAGGCTGAGGGCCAAGGTCACGATGCTGACAGTATTGGATTCTAATAAGCCCTCCTTCCTTGGCTTGCCGAGGCTGCCCTCTCCCTGCGTCCCCTTGGGCCTTTCCTCTGACAGGTATTCAGCATCCCTGATGCTGCTCTCTGTCCTCATCTCCTCTTGTCAGGACACCAGTCAGACTGGATGAGGGCCACTCCATGGCTCCATTGTATCCCAATCACCTCTCTAAAGGCTCCGTCTCCAAACACTCACACTCCGAGGTACTGGGGGTTAGGGCTTCAGCATGGGGACTTAGGGGGCACAATTCAGTTCATAACAACACTTATATTGAACCAAGGCCCTCAGGAGCCAAGCAGGGGCTCATAATGGAATGTGCCTCAGAACATCAGAGGCCTCGATACCGGTTCTTAGATCGCCCCTGTGGTTTAAGCTGCAGCGGGGAGGCGGACTGAGCCTGAACTGGTCGGACGGAGCACAGTAGTACGTTCCTCTGTGGATGCAGCTCTCGTCCCCTTCTTCCTCCTCCTGTGCCATTGGTGCTGTTTAACCAGGAAAAACATGCATGTGGGATCCAGCCTTGTTTCAAATACTTCTGATACTGTGGGACCTCGAACGTGTTCCTTAATCTCTTCTACCCCAGCGGGTGGTTGAGGACTGAATCACGCATGAAAGGTGGGGGTGGGGTAGCTGCTCGGTAACCAGTTTTCAGGACTGACTTGAACAAGCAGAGCTGGATGTCTGGGCTACGTCACGAATGAACGTTTGGGAAAAATAGGTTGTTTAGGGCAGATTGTTCCTAGAGATCATGGAAGCTACAGCCTCTATTGGAGCTACAATCCTCAGCCTCCCCTGGCCCCTCACTGAGAAGTGAAGTGCAGGGGGAGGAGGACACTGGCCCCCTCCGAGACCCCACACTCCACCTAAGTTGGAGGTGGCCCCGGGGTGGACCTGGGCCTCATGCCCAAGGCCTGCCAGGAAGTGATCTCCCCTCCCTGCTCCCCGGAAGCTCACCAGGCCCCTGCCTTCCCTGTCAGCAGCTCTGCTGACGGTCCCAGGAGCTGGCCATCAGCCCTGCTGGAATGTGGGGGAGGGGCCCCGAGAGAGTGGCCAGATGGAAATGGTTTCTGCTCCGCCATTGCTGGGCGGCCAGCAGGGCTGAAGGAAGGGCGAGAGGGACCCAGGGGCTCTCGGGAACAAGCAGGAGTTCACAGGTCAGGATCAGGCTCAAGGCCGCTCCTGGGAGGGGCAGGCCGGCTGTCTCCAGCTGGACCTCGGGGATGCTCGGGTGCTTCCCCTGATTTCCAGTGTCACAGGTTCTCGGGTTAGGAAGGCCCGGGCCCCCA